AAAGACCTCAGTGCCCAAGACTCTGATACAGCAGGCCTGGGGTCTGGGCCTTTAAATGATTTCATGGTCAATTCAGATGTGAGGCCAAGGTTAGGAGGACCCCTAGCCAGGGATGCTGATGCTGTTTTCTGCTGCAGTGGCCTCGGGGTGCTATCAAGCTGTGGAACTGTAGGGGGAAGGACGGCTGTCCTAACACATAAGGCTGCAAAAGAAGACAGGTGAGAGCTCAGCAGACACACGTCTTACAAAAATGTTTTCATTTTAAAAGACTTATTTGTTCAGAGCAATGTTAGATTTAGAGAAGAACTGAGTAGAAAGTACAGAGAGTTCCCATATGCCTGTCCCCCTCCCCTAGCCACACAGCACACACTTTTCCTATTATAACATTTTACATTACTTTGGTACTTTCTTATAATTGATGAACCAATATTAATACATTGTTATTAACTAAAGTCTACAGTTTACAGTAGGATTTGTTATTCATTTTGGATAAGTATTGACAAGTGCATAAAGTCGTTGTCTGAGAAGAGAAACATTTCCTCCACACACTGTGCAGGTCCCTGGCTGGGTCTGAAAATTAAACTAAGAAAGGCAGATCAATAGGAGGAAAGCACACATATTTTATTAAATGTGTACATGTCCGTGGGAGTGTTCAGACAAGAATGAAAATCGAAATAACTGGATAGAGCAGGAAGCTTTTATATCTTTTTAACTAGGAAACAATACATTTATGAAGACTTTTCATGACAAGGTGTGAGCTGGCCTTGAGACGAGTTAACCTCGTGGGACCCAAGGCCATGGCCAGAGCCTTGAGATAAGTTAAGGCTGTGTGACCCAAGACCACAATTACAGAGCATCTTTGTCGTATGCAGTAAATAATTGCTCCACGCATGCGTCAATTATATAAGATTTAGAACAAAGAAAATAGAAGTACGCATGTGCTAGAGATATTCTGTAAGCCTAGTGAACAAAGAAACTCAGACCGCGCATGTGCAGACAGGAAACAGATAAAAGCAGGACAGGTGCATCATAGGCGCGCACCTCCCTGTGGCAACAAAGTGTTGTTAACCCCATGGTGTCTCCGGCTGAGGTCTGCCCGGCAGTATGGCAACTCCTCGTGCATTTTTTCGTTTGGGCTGCTCACCTCCTAAAACCACACATCAGCCTCCCTCGGCTGACACAAGGGGTTTGTTCTATGGGTAGGCAATGACGAAGAAGGAACTAGAAAGATAAGGGTTAGTTTGCTCTGGCGCCCTCTCTAGGCAGATAAGAGTCCATCTCCCGTGAAAGAATTAATTTTTTTGCCATTAGACAAAAAAGGAGATTTTTCTGTACTTAATGGTTCTTACTTGCCTTCAGTGCAAAATAATTTTTATGTCAAAGAGCCATATGCTGGGGTGATATATTCTGGTTTCCTTTAGCATAAACATGGGCTATCTCTCCATTTATTAAGCTCAACTTTTGACTTATTTCATCCGAATTTTATCATTTTCCTCATATTAATCTTGTACATATTTTATTGGATTTATACTTAAGTACTTCATTTTTCTTTTCTCCTAATATGATTTTTTTTTCAAATTCTGTTAATTCATTGCTGGGATATATGAAAGCAATCTATTTTTGTATATTAGCCTTGTATCCTGCAACTTTACTATAAACAAGCAGCTTTTATCCTAAAGATAATTGGAGCCATGAAAAGCAGGAGGCAAGAGTGTGTTCCACTGTTATCTTCATGCTCCAAGAATACCAATCTGGAAGGAATATGTCGGATAGATTGGAAGGAGAAGAGGTTAAAGGCAGGAAGTCCAAGTAGGAACCTTTTATGTGAGCCCTTTAGGAGACAATAAGATTCTGAATAAGGGGATTTTAGCACCAGTGGAAAGGTAAGTGCAGATGTACAAGGCAGATCTCCTACGTTTGCCCTTGCGCTTCATATGTGTGGTTCTCTTCACACAGCTTCCTCTTTGGGCTGCCCTTACCATCCTCTTCATCGAACTTCTAATTGATCCTCAAAACTCGGTTCCAGTGTTGTGCTCCTCTCTCCTGTCTCCTCACACTTCCTGAGGAGCTGCAGTTACCTCCATCGCAGCTGCAACTGCTGCTTATGTTGATTAATACATAACCGGGGAGGTCAGAGTTCAGTGCCAGAGTGCATGGCTGCCATGCACGAGGTCCTGGCTGCAATCCACAGTACCTGCATGAAATACATAAATGAATAAATAGACAAACGTAATTACCTCCCTCCCTACAAAAAACATTTTACAAAGAAAGAATAAACAACGTTTAAAAATACATATGCATATGTGTGTGTGTGTATATATAGTGTATTTTTTCATTTGCCTCATTGTTTCTTTCATTAGATCCTGAGCTCCTGAATCTGAGTAGCCCAGTAACTGGCCCAAGAAACATACACATAAGTGAATAATTCAAATCTCTTGTTAAAACACACATTACCAAGTACAGGGCAGTTATTATATCAGATTTTTGTGTATATTTTCTCCTAAGGAACTGAAATCATAAAACTTCAAAAACTGAAACTTCGGTTCAGGAAGGAAGCACCCACCCATATCAGGAAGTGATCAGGTCTTTAAAACTCTGTTTTGAGTCTCATCGTTTCTTAAGTAGCCTTACTCTTCCTGTGTCCACAGTGTTACTGATACTATGTTAAACAGCCAGTTGAAAAGGCTAGGAGTCTCATCCCCACTGTGCACAAGAAGTTCATCTTCCAAGCCCTGGGCTTCTCTCGCCTGGGGCTCAGAGCCCCTCCCCTGCTGCACGCGGGCAGCCCGGGCAAGCCTGGGGGAACAAGAGACAAGCCTCAGAGCCTGGGACTAAGTTGGGCTTCTGGCACCGTGGGAGCCCCAGCGTGGAGACCTGGTAAGAGGAGGAGCCCCAGGGCTGGGGAGAGTGGGCTGTGAAGGTGGCCGGGAGGTCCGGGTCAAACAGCTGGAGGTAAATATTTCAGGAGCAAAGAGGGAAGAGACAAGGTTTCTGACATGGGGATCGTCAAACGCAGGAGTACAGGACAAAGAGAAGAGTGAGTTCTACCAATCAGGAAAGGTCATCTTTCCTCAAATGCCTCCTCACTGGGCTCCAGTTTCTTCACAGAACTGTGAGACTCAACTGAAAAAGAAGAGTTTAAAAAAAAAATTCGTGAAATGTTAAGAGGCAGAATAAACATCTAAATGGTTATGAGTAATAATTTTGCTCCTATGGCTTCTCCTCTACTTCTCTGTCACCATTATCTTCTCTCTTCTTACGCAGAAAAGATGGGCCCATGGCTTCTGGGACGCCTTCTCCTCGTGTTGCTGCTGGGACTGTGGTGGGCAGTGCCTCCCCTTTGTGCTTTGCCTGAGGGTCTCACCAGGGCTCGATGGTTTGAAATTCAGCACATACAGCCGAGGCCTCTCCAGTGTAACAAGGCGATGAGTGTTGTCAATAGCTACACCCAGCACTGTAAGCCTGAAAACACCTTTCTGCACACCTCCTTCCAGGATGTGGCTGCTGCCTGTGATTTGCCAAACATCACCTGTAAGAACGGCCAGAACAATTGCCACCAGGATCCGAAGCCCGTTCCCCTGACTCAGTGCAGCCTCACTGCGGGGAGGTACCCTGCCTGCCGCTACCGAGAGGCTGCCCAGTACAAGTGCTACATTGTGGCCTGCGACCCCCCTCAGAAGGGCGACCCTCCCTATGCGTTGGTTCCTGTGCACTTAGATAAGGTTGTCTGAGGTTTCCATCACTTTCGTTCTCACTTGGCACAAATTCTCTTTTGATTTTTTCTGATTTTTCTTTGCTTTTGTTGATTTTCCTGGTTCCCAGAGAAGGAAAAGGGAGGGCGTTGAAAGAATTAGAGTGACGAGGATATCAGACAGTTTTCTGCTTTGGAGCTCAGTGTTTTGAAGGCAGACAGAAGGGAAGAGGGCAAAGAAGGGTCCAGGCCTCCGTATTTTCAGCCTTAGAGCTTTGCTGCGTTACAGGAGAAAAGCAATTTTAATTACACATGTACGTGTGGGTTCCCTACAAACACATGAGACTCAGAAGACATGGGAAACCCGGGGGCTCAGGGTCCGTGTCTGCAGCGGTGTTCCGAGACCAGGCCTGGGGCCGGGAGGGTTGCCCTGGCTTAGAGACGCCACGTTTCCCAGGGAAAATGAGCTAAGTAGACAACCCAGTACATGTCTCCTTCCCACAGGGTGTGGGAAAGGCAATTGAGTGTCAGGTCCGAGGACACTGCATTTCTCAAATGTCATGCTGACCAGACGATGTGAGGCCACTCCTTCCGCTTTACTTCCTGCCTTAGTTGGTACTTTAACTGGTTCCATTGGGGAAAAGAACTGTACAGTCAAAAAGAATTTTATTGATAAATTCAATACTGTGAATATTTTTGCTTAAGTCGTCTTTTTAACTTGTGAATTTTTTAAAATGCCATACTGTCTAGACAGGGCCAATAGAAACAGAATGGTGCGCTCCCCTCCCCAGCACGAGGACTAAAATTACAACGATTCAGAGATTAGCATGACCCCCTCACAAGGATGACACACAAATTCCTGAAGCCTTCCATATTTTGTGAAGTAAGTCAGACAGAGAAAGACAAACATCACATGATATCATTTATATGTGGAATCCAATATATGACCCAAACGAACCTATTTACAAAACAGAAAGAGACTTGCAGATAGGAAACAAACTTATGGTTATGGGGGAAAGGCAGGGCGGGAGGGATAAATTGAGATTTAGGATTAGCTGATGTAAAATACTATGCATAAAATAGATTGAAAAACAAGGCCCTACTGTATAGCACAGGGAACTATACTCAATATCTTGTAATAACCTATAATGAAAAAGAATCTCTCTCTCTCTCTGTATATATGTATGGAAAAAATGGAATCACTATGCTGCAATCACTATGCTGTACACAGGAAACAAATACAACATTGTAAATCAAAAAAATAAAGGAATATTAATCGATCAGTCACTCAATACAAGCAGAAGAAGTGATGTGCACGTCTGAGGCAAGCCTACAGAGGTGTGGGGTGGCAGAAGCAGGGCCAAAGAGCCTCAGGGGAAGGCAGAAGCGGATGCTCGTGAGGAGGGCAAATCCAGAGCGCCTGACACTTCGTGATGGACTTTATAAAGGCCTTCCCTTGCCCTGTCTCATGCACTCGTGTCATTTTTAACGTGATTTATTACTTTTCAAAAATTAAACAATGTAGACCAATACAAACTAATATATGGTGCTCAAATGAATAAATATTGTATTCCACATGCTCTTAGAAAAATACAAAAGCATTGGAGTCCATTGTATTTCTCCCTCCACTCTCATTCCTCTTAACTCTTCTTAAATGAAATCATAAATTCAGAGTGTCTCCAGCCCTATTTGTATACTTTTACTTCATAAACAATATATAGTATTTCCATTGTGCAATTTAAAAATAAATTTATCCAAATGCCATTGTATGGTACAAATCATTCTGCAACTTGACTTTTTTGTTCACTCAATACTGTTTTTAACACACATTAATATTAAAATGTGTCTTGTTCTTTTATTTTTATGGGTATATTTTTTCTTTGTATTAATAAACCATCATTTATTTATCAGTCGTCTCTTGATGGATCTTTGGAATATACTGAACTTTTCACTCGAACAAGCAGTGTTGCAATGAATGTCTGTGTACATTTCTCTGTGTGCACATGTGACAAAATTTTACCTCTAAGTGACTCCATGTCTATAGTAGGTACACCAAGATGTGGAATTTCCAAGTCATACATATTTTTAATTTTGCTGTCTTGTTATATTTTCATCATACTTGGCAATTTAAAGAAAGACACACAGCAGAAGAGTTGTAAGTTTCAGCTTTATACAAGGTGTCACTGAGGACTAGAGCCTGGGAGACAGCCACTCAGGTAGCTCTGAGGTATGAGATAGCACACCATTGTTGTGTAGATTGTTCATAAGTAAGTAAATGATGCAAAAACGCATAACCAAAATCCAGTCGTAAGAGAAAAAATTTTTTA